AAAAAAACAATAATAAATTGGTCATTTTCAATCCGACTGTTTGTGGGACATTGCTGTGCGCAATTGGCTGCCGCGTTCGCCCACAAATATACAGTCAATTCACTTTACAGTGTGTTCTGTGAAGCGCTTTGGGACGTCCTCCGACGTGAAAAGCGCTATATCAAATGCAAGGATTATTATTATTGTTAAATTTGTTTTATGGCTGTTTGTGGGACATTGCTGTGCGCAATTGTGATGCCGTGTTTGTCAACAAAAGCAGTCACCCATGATATAGTAAATCCTGTGAAGCGCTTTGAGACGTCCTTTCCACGGATCAAGCACTTTACCAAATGCAAGGATTATTATTTCAGTACTGTGAGTACAGTACGCAACACAAAAACGCATGAGACATCTGGTGGTGATAACTATAAATGTAGTCTTGTGTTGGGTGACGCTCCTGCTATCCTGACACTTCCACTTTCTCTCTGTTTGTAGGTGTTGTGAACTTCCATTTCCTTAATCGAGTCATTTGTAAAACTCTTTGGGGGTTATTTAACTATTTAATTGTTCGTTGCTTTTTGTGCGTGGTTTGTATTTTGGTTTCACCTTCCTAGTTTTAGAAAAGGAATTTCCCATCATTGGAAGAAGTGCCACCTTCTGCTTGATCTGAAATAACTTGACATAATCCTCACATTTAATATAATACCCATGATACAGAAATGTCTCAAAGTGCTTCACAAGGAACTAATGTTAAATGTAGTGATCATATATTTGCGGCAACCATGTTGGCCCGGGAGGAAAGTGAGTCAATGTTTCAGATGAAGGGTTGTGGACCTGAAATGTTGATTCACCATCCTCTCTCCATAGATGCTGCCTGACCTGCTGAGTTTCCCCAGCTCTCTCTGTTTTGTTTCATATTCCAGCACCTGCAGTATTCTGTGATTTGATACTGTAAAGTGTATATATTGTGGGGGAAACGCGGCAGCCAATTGTGCAGTGCAGTGTCCCACAAACAATCGTGGATTGGGTGAACAAATTATTATTATTCATTTTTTAAAAAAATTTTTCTAAGGGAACACTGCTCTTTTGTGTAGACTGATATAAATATTTGATGTTTGATACACCCTTTGGTTTAATGAAATCTCCATCGCCATTATTTGTAAGCATAATTGCTCCTACCTCTGCCGTTCTGTTGACCAGTAATTGCCCAACTCCTCCATGTCAACACACAGAACTGTCAGTGACTATCATTAAAAATCAAACATTCCTCATTTGAAATCCTCATGTTTTGCTCTCCTTATAATCCCAACTAAGAAGGGAGGTAATCTGTTTCTGCTAATCTCACTTCCCAGCTCTGGGAGGTAGCAGAGTCAACAACAACAACAAACAAGAATCTTGAGAGTTTATTATTAGGTGCGTGGAGTAAGGAAACTTGCCCAAGGTTTCACCCCCTGCAGGGAATCGAACCCAGGTCTCTCGCTTGCAAAATAGGAGCACGCTATAAGGGGGAGATGGGAGCACACTATAGAGGGGAGATGGGAGCGCGCTATAGGGGGGAGATGAGAGCGCGCTATAGGAGATATGGGAGCGCGCTATAAGGGAGATGGGAGCGCGCTATAGGGGGAGATTGGAGCGCGCTATGGGAGGGAGATGGGAGCGCACTAAAGGGGGGAGATGGGAGCGCGCTAGAAGGGGATATGGGAGCGCGCTATAGGGGGGAGATGGGAGCACGCTATAGGGGAGATATGGGAGCACGCTTTAGGGGGAGATGGGAGCGCGCTATAGGGGTGAGATTGGAGCGCGCTATAGGGGGGGAGATAGGAGCGCGCTATAGGGGGGAGATGGGAGCACACTATAGAGGGGAGATGGGAGCGCGCTATAGGGGGAGATGAGAGCGCGCTATAGGGGAGATATGGGAGCGCGCTATAGGGGAGATATGGGAGCGCGCTATAAGGGAGATGGGAGCGCGCTATAGGGGGAGATGGGAGCGCGCTATAGGGGGAGATGGGAGCGCACTATAGGGGGAGATGGGAGCGCGCTATAGGAGGGAGATGGGAGCGCGCTATAGGGGGGAGATGGGAGCACGCTATAGGGGGAGATGGGAGCGCGCTTTAGGGGAGATGGGAGCGCGCTATAGGGGGAGATTGGAGCGCGCTATAGGGGGGAGATGGGAGCGCGCTATAGGGGGGAGATGGGAGCGCACTATAGGGGGAGATGGGAGCGCGCTATAGGGGGGAGATGAGAGCGCGCTATAGGGGAGATATGGGAGCGCGCTATAGGGGAGATATGGGAGCGCGCTATAGGGGTGATGGGAGCGCGCTATAGGGGGAGATTGGAGCGCGCTCTAGAGGGGGGAGATGGGAGCGCGCTAGAAGGGGATATGGGAGCGCGCTATAGGGGGGAGATGGGAGCGCGCTATAGGGGAGATGGGAGCGCGCTATAGGGGGAGATTGGAGCGCGCTATGGGAGGGAGATGGGAGCGCGCTATATGGGGGGAGATGGGAGCGCGCTATACGGGGGAGATGGGAGCGCGCTATAGGGGGGGAGATGGGAGCTCACTATAGGAGTGTAGATGGGCACGCGCTATAGCGGTGGAGATGGGAGCGCGCTTTAGGAGGGGAGATATGAGCGCGCTATAGAGGGGGGAATTGGAAGCACACTGCATGGGGGGGAAAGATGGGAGAGCGCTTCAGGAGGGGAGATAGGACCGCACTATAGAGGGGGAAGATGGGAGCGCGCTGTGCGGGGGAGAGATGGGAACGGGCTGTGGGGGGGGGGAGATGGGAGCGCACTTTAGGAGGGGAGATAGGAGCGCGCTCCAGAGGGGGGAGATGGGAGCACAATATAGGGGGGAGGTGGGAGTGCGCTATGGGGGGAGATGGGAGCGCGCTATGGGGGGAGATGGAAAGAAAAAACAATGAATAAATTGGTCACTTCAATCCATGACTGTTTGTGGGACATTGCTGTGGGCAATTGGCTGCCGCGTTTCGCCCACAAATATATACAGTCAATTCACTTTACAGCATATTCTGTGAAGCACTTTGAGACGTCTAGAAGACGTGAAGAGCGCTATATCAAATGCAAGGATTATTATTATTGTTAAATTTGTTTTATGGCTGTTTGTGGGACATTGCTGTGCGCAATTGTGATGCCGTGTTTGTCAACAAAAGCAGTCACCCATGATATAGTAAATCCTGTGAAGCGCTTTGAGACGTCCTTTCCACGGATCAAGCACTTTACCAAATGCAAGGATTATTATTTCAGTACTGTGAGTACAGTACGCAACACAAAAACGCATGAGACATCTGGTGGTGATAACTATAAATGTAGTCTTGTGTTGGGTGACGCTCCTGCTATCCTGACACTTCCACTTTCTCTCTGTTTGTAGGTGTTGTGAACTTCCATTTCCTTAATCGAGTCATTTGTAAAACTCTTTGGGGGTTATTTAACTATTTAATTGTTCGTTGCTTTTTGTGCGTGGTTTGTATTTTGGTTTCACCTTCCTAGTTTTAGAAAAAGGAATTTCCCATCATTGGAAGAAGTGCCACCTTCTGCTTGATCTGAAATAACTTGACATAATCCTCACATTTAATATAATACCCATGATACAGAAATGTCTCAAAGTGCTTCACAAGGAACTAATGTTAAATGTAGTGATCATATATTTGCGGCAACCATGTTGGCCCGGGGAGGAAAGTGAGTCAATGTTTCAGATGAAGGGTTGTGGACCTGAAATGTTGATTCACCATCCTCTCTCCATAGATGCTGCCTGACCTGCTGAGTTTCCCCAGCTCTCTCTGTTTTTGTTTCATATTCCAGCACCTGCAGTATTCTGTGATTTGATACTGTAAAGTGTATATATTGTGGGGGAAACGCGGCAGCCAATTGTGCAGTGCAGTGTCCCACAAACAATCGTGGATTGGGTGAACAAATTATTATTATTCATTTTTTAAAAAAAAATTTCTAAGGGAACACTGCTCTTTTGTGTAGACTGATATAAATATTTGATGTTTGATACACCCTTTGGTTTAATGAAATCTCCATCGCCATTATTTGTAAGCATAATTGCTCCTACCTCTGCCGTTCTGTTGACCAGTAATTGCCCAACTCCTCCATGTCAACACACAGAACTGTCAGTGACTATCATTAAAAATCAAACATTCCTCATTTGAAATCCTCATGTTTTGCTCTCCTTATAATCCCAACTAAGAAGGGAGGTAATCTGTTTCTGCTAATCTCACTTCCCAGCTCTGGGAGGTAGCAGAGTCAACAACAACAACAACAACAAGAACTTGCATTTATATAACGCCCCTCATGCATGGTAGCGCCTCAGAGCCTGATGCTGAGCCGGGGGGATGGGGGGGAGGTAACCATAAGCATGGTCGAAGAGGAAGGTCTTCAGGCATGATCTGAAAATAGGGAAGGAGGCGGCAAGGCGGAGGGACTGAGGGAGAGAGTTCCAGAGTTTCGGGACGTAGTGGTTGAAAGTGCGGCCAATGAAGATGGAGTGGAGGGGACACGGCACGAGCTGGAGGGCGGAGGCAGCCGAGCAGAGCGAAGGGTAGTGAGTTGGGGAGTGAGCAGGTCGGAGAGGTAGGGAGTTGAAGGGATTTGAAGATGAGTGTGAAGATCTTGAAGTTGATCCTTTCGATGATAGTCAGATTGTTTCTTTCTCCGATTCCCCTATTCACGCAAGCCGAGCACTTGGAGATGTCCTCCTGACGTCAAAGGTGCTGTGCTGTATAAATGTAATTTGTATATCCAGTCCGTGGTTATATGTGGGACCTTTCAGTTTGTGAACTGGCTGCTCCGTTTGCCTATCAATACACTTTGCTGTAGTTTTTTGTGAACCGCTCTCAGATGTTTCGCCACTGTTGGTGCTGTCTCAAATACCAGGATTATCATCTTGGCAATAACACTGCAGGTACATTGTTCGTCATAAACACGACAAAATTATATTTAAGTCCGGTGTCAAAGAGAACATGTCTTTGCTAAATCACAAGATATGATAAATACCTCCCCTCTGAACGCTGAATGTGATTCACTTGTGAGTCGTTCTGTAAAGGTCATTTCATCACAACACATATTCCTTAAATACAACAACCTGAAATTGCCATCGTCTGATTGATCCTTCCCACAGCTAAATACCCATCTGTCCTAACACAGTGAGCTGCAATGGCTGGATTTTGCGTCTTTAACCCTTTGATATCACTGGCATTGCTCTCAATGGCAAACTATGTGGTTTTAGCTGGTTAGACTCCAGCAGTTACCCCAGTGCACACTCGGGGTCCCCCAAGCCTTGGCTCTTGCCAACCTGCGCCTGTATGTCCCGAAATTAGGTAAGCAGGATACGTCCCTCTAGGAAGAGAGGGAGAGAGAGAAAGCACTTTCCATCCCAACAAGCTATCTCTGGGATTTCCATGTGTAGGTGGGAGGCGTGGAATTCTCAGCTTGGTTTGGAGACTCTTAAACAATGGTGATGGGTTTCCGCTCGTGTCAGACAC